ACCTCCTCCAGCCTCTACACCCCCTCCCTATCTCTGTCACCTCCTCCGAGAACTCTGCGCTCCTCCAGTCCCGGCCACCTCCAGCATCCCCCCAAATCCCATCACTCCACCTGGGGGGCGTATTTGAGATGGTGAGTGGGCCTGAGCTCTGGAATTCCCTCCCTACACCTCCCCGCCTCTCTCTCTCTCTCAGTCTCTCTGTGACGCTCCTTAAACTGATCTCTCAGAGAGAGATGCGCATTTGCCTATCCTCCTGGGGCTCAACGTGCTTGGAATTGATGCTCTGGAATGTTTTGGGGGCAGCGGGGGCGAGGGAGGCCTGATTAGTGTGTGAAAGGCGCCGCATGAATGCAGGTTGTTGCTGACATGAAGAGAACGTTTGGTGGAGCAGACAGCCGGAAGATGAATTTCACCGAAGAATGGGGTGAGGTGGCTCAATTCGGCAGAGACGGTGAGGGCTGGAGGTTAGGAAATGAAGCAATAAACTGAACGTAGGGTGCAGGAGTACAGGAACCCGAGGGCAGATGTACACTGTGGTGGTGAGAGTTTGAAAAGGCTACGCCAGAATAGATATCAAGTGGGGGGAGGTGAGACTGACAGCCCTTGAGATCAAGGTACAGTGGCTCAGTGGTTAGCACTGCAGCCTCACAGTGCTAGAGACCCGGGTTCGATCCCACTCTCGGGTGACTGTCTGTGTGGAGTTTGCACATTCTCCCCTCGTGTCTGCATGGGTTTCCTCCGGGTGCTCTGGTTTCCTCCCACAGTCCAAAGGTGTGCAGGTTAGGGTGGATTGGCCGTGCTAAATTGTCCTGTAGTGTGCAGGTTAGGGTGGATTGGCCGTGCTAAATTGTCCCACAGTGCCCAGGGATGGGTGGGTTACAGAGGGATGGGTCTGGGTGGGATGCTCTGAGGGTCGGTGTGGATTTGGTGGGCCGAAGGGCCTGTTTCCGTAGTGTAGGGATTCTATCAAGGCTGTGTCGAGAGAGGATGGATAGGCCAAGACGTTTGTTTTCTCACTTGAGCGTAGGAGGTTGAGAATCGACCTTATAGAAGTTTGTGAAATCATGACGGGTGGAGATAGGGTTAATGGCAGGTGTCATTTCCCTAGGAAGGAGGGATTTCGAGACTACATGGGGCTCATTTTTTAAGGTGAGAGGAGAGTGATTTAAAAAAGACACAAGGGGCAATTTATTTTTACACAGAGGGTGGTTCGTGTGTGGAATGAACTTCCTGAGGATGTGGGTACAGTTACAATGTTTTAAAGACATTTGGATAAGTTCATAAATAGGAAAGATTTGGAGGGATATGGGCCAGGAGCAGGCAGGTGGGACTAGTTTAGTTCAGCATAGAGTGGTTGGGCTAAGGGGCATCTGTTTCCTTGCTGTGTTACTCTATAAGTGTAGGGAGTCCAAAACTGGAGGGACATAGGTTTAAGGTGAAAAGGGGAAAGATTTAAAAGGGACCTGAGGGGCAACTTTTTCACGCAGAGGGTGGTGCGTGTATGGAACGAGCTGCCAGAGGAGGTGGTGGAGGCTGGTACAATTACAACATTTAAAAGGCATCTGGATGGGTACATGAATAGGAAGGGTTTAGAGGGATAGGGGCCAAATGCTGGTAAGTGGGGCTATTTCAGTTTAGGACATATGGTCGGCATGGACAAGTTGGGCCGAAGGGCCTGTTGTTTCCACGCTGTGTGGCCTGTATTCACCAGAGTTTAGAAGATTGACAGGGAGATCGGACTGAAACGTGTAAAATTCTCACATGGTTGGACACACAGAGAGAAGGTTTCTCCTGGAGTCTGTAGCCAGGGGAGACAGGCTCGGGACACAGAGCAGACAATTTAGGAGCAGGATGAGGAAAGATTTCTTCAGTCAGACGGGAGTGAACCCTTGGAATTCTCTCCCAGAGAGGGCTGCGGAAGCCAAGTCAGTGAATCTATTCAGGGAAAAGATAAAGGTTTAGATTTTAAAGAGATATGGGGTCAACGCGAGAATATGTCATTGAGATAGAGATTCAGACAAGATCCGATTGAATGGCTCAAGCAGGGTGAATGGGCACCTCCGAGTTGTTACGTGAAGCAATGATGACCCCGTGCCGAGGACGAGAGCTGTAACTCTCCACGCAGCACATTAATCCAAGGATTTTAATTTGCAGGTTGTACTGCACTGCATGTGGCGGTGAGGAATTCCCAGTTGGACTGCATCAGGAGCCTGGTGAAGGTAAAAGCATTGTGTCCCCCCGACAACGTCCTGTCTGGAGGTCCTATCCACCCCACCCCAACCCCTAGCTAGTGGACGGGGCATCAGTTTCACCCCCAACGCGCAAACCCCAAGCTGAGCGGGACTTCGGTTAGGACACAGGAGCTCAATGGGTGTTTCCAAGGGAGCAGAACAGCCCCTGGCTGCTGGGAATCTACCGGTTGCACCCACTGTGGGCTTAAACACTCACACACACCTCTCTATCTCACACACACACACACACACACACACACACACACACTCTCACACACACACTCTCTAACACACACACACAGTCTCTCTCACACACACACTCTCTCTCTCACACACACACACTCTCTCTCTCTCTCTCACACACACACACACAC